ACTTATGTGTAACTCTACTCTTACGATTCTAAATTTTTAATTTATTTTTAAAATAATATTATGATTCTCTTCACTAAATTTTAAAAAAGTATCAATTTAGAAGTTTTAAAATTATATAATATAACTAGTTATGATATTCTATTATTTTAGATATTTGGTAAAAAAAGTTTTAAATTTTAATTATAAATGCTTCTAATTAATCCTAATAATACTCATATTAAATTTTATATGCTTTTAATAAGATTTAAAAGATGAGATTAAATCATTTAGTACATTAAAAAAATGACTAATTTAAACTTTAAGAATTATTTTCATTGTGTTTGAAACTTAGAGTTATTCTTATTGTCCTCTATGCCTTTAGTGATGTAGTCATGAACAATTTTCAAATCTTTTTAATTTTTATAATTATAAAAAAGTATAAAAATTTGTTTATCATTTATGCCTTTTATTATATTTTTTATTATTTAAATATTAATATGTTTTATAACTATATTTTCTACTTGATATTAGAAATCAAAATCATCTCTTGTATCTTTAAGGTTGCTGCCAGGTTGATTGTCAGATATTTCGTTCTCAATTAAATCATCAAGACTATACTAAATAGAGCCTAAATGAACCTGTCAAATTAGTAAAAATTTAATAGAGGCACTAAAATATGTTATAAAACCAAATTCAAGGGATCAAAAAGCAAATTTCTTCAATTAAGTGACAAAAGAAAGTTTCATACAAAAGTTGAGGGACCGAAAATCAAATATTAACCATTACATTGTAAATTGCAATTCTGTAAACCAGAAAAAGAAGTTCCTATCCTGTCTTTTTCGGTTTATCAGTTTCTCTGTTTTGCAGTTGGACTGTGTTACATAGCAAAATATAAACCTTTGAAGAGATTTCTTTGACCAAAACAGTCTGGCTGTATTGCATAGCAAAACATATACCTTTGGTGAGGTTTCTTTGACCTTGATATTATTGAGGCCCCTCCCACATGGCCTCCCCATGTGTTTATGTCTCACCGTCGGCCTCCTTCCATCCAATCTAAAATTCTTATTATTTGAACTTTTCATGTGATCGATGGATCGGTCACGTTATTCCATAAATAATAAGTGAAGTTTACTTATTTCTTTCGTTTGAATTATAATTTATGTAAACACTAACTTTTAAGTCGTATTTTTTTTGTAAAAAAAAAAAATCTAAAAATTATTTTTTTGCGGTATGATATAGCAGATACTACTCTCATGATGGCATTGTTCTGCTTTTGGCAATTAGGTTGTTGGGAATACACTTTACAGGTCATAAAATCCATTACCTTTTTGGTCAACTACTCCCTTGTCAGTAATCATCCAATCAGCAAAATAGACAATAACAGTAACGTTACTCCTACTAAGAAAAACAGTCATGCATCTCAAATCTTGATTGTGGAAGGAAGAGTGTGAATGCAATGAGTTGACAAAATAAAGTGTTTACTTTTGAGAACTTTTTTCCTAGGAAATTTTCTTCTTTTCTGAACCCAACCTTAATCCAAAATCAGGGTTATGGAGTTGGTGCCAGCCAGAGGATTTGTTTATTGAGAAAAAGAGAGAGAAATTTAAAGGGGTTTTGTTATTCAAATCTCAACGCACACACAGTTGCAGAAATCCACCGTCTGAGAGGCCTCAGTTTCAGATTTTTATTTTATTTTATTTTTTTGAACTGAAACTAAATTAATTTCAAATTTTTAATTTATTATATTAAATTATTTTTAATTAATAATTTATATAATTTAGTAACCTTATAATATTATTTTTAAAATAATTATTAAATAATAACATAAATTTTATAATAATAAAATAATTAAAAAACCCCAACTATAATAATCTCTTAACAAAATTTTATTTTTGATCTTAAATTGTACAATCTACTCTAAATATTTTATTTCCACTTGGCAAAAAAAACCAAGACTTAAATGTTGACTTTTTCCTCTCATTTTTTCCGTTAATCCTCGGAGCACCCATTGAGACAAGTTGTAGGTACCAAGACTAATTTAGAAAGCGGGTGGGAAAGAAAGAACAAAGAAAAGCAGATGAAACCCACTATCACCAGAAACAAATCAGGTATATCTGTCTCTTTTCTTCAGAAATAGGGGTACTATATGCTCCATCCAAATTTGAAAAGATTGGTTCTCCGATTAAGAATATAGAGGGTGTTTGGCTAGGTTTAAAAGCTGGTGATCAAATCTGTTGATAAGCTAAAACAACGTTTCTTTCTTCTCCGGATGCATAGATTCATCAGTTTTTCCACATTGCATACTGTTGAATCTGTGGGCTGCCACACTGCATGTGTATATAGAAAAGGGGAAATGAGTTCTTCCAGGAAGTTTTTTACTGTGTTTCTGTTTTCTACATACCTGCTTATCCTCTCTGCTGCCCAGCCGGATCCCAAGAGTTGCTTGACCAACGAAGATGGCTGTTGGGTTAGGTGCCTTGGATTTCATGATAACAGTAACAGCACATACCAAACAAACCTCAATCGTCTCTTCTCCTCCTTCACCTCTAACCCAGGAAACAATTATGGGTTCTACAATGCTTCTTTTGGCCAAACCCCTGACCAAGTTAACGCAGTTGCACTTTGTAGAGGTGATTTAATTTCAAACCCGGGTGTTTGTCTCAGCTGTTTCAATAATGCTACCACTGAGCTCAGAAAAAGTTGTCCTGACGCGAAGGAAGCAATTGTATGGAATGAGAATTGTATGTTTCATTATGCAAATCGCTCCATCTTTGGTGTTTTGGACAGTAACTCCTTTTACTCTTGGGATGGGAATAAAGTCACAAATGTCAGTGCTTTCAATGGTGTCCTGAGTCCTCTGTTGGAAAGCCTGAGAATCAAGGCGGCGGCTGGTGATTCTCTTTTGAAGTTTGCAACGGGCACAGCGGCTGTTTCAGCTTTACAGATCATTTATGCACTTGTCCAGTGCACTCCAGATTTGTCCCAGCCTCAATGCAACGCATGCTTGTCTGATGCTATTGGACAAATTTCAGATTGCTGTGACGGTTGGCAAGGAGTTAGAATATTTGGGCCAAGTTGCAATCTTAGGTTTGAGATTTACCCTTTCTACAATGTTACTGCTGATGGACCAGCACCAGCACCACCTCTGTCTCCTCCGGCCTCAAATGATACCCCAAGTACATCACCAGGTACTTCAGGGTCAACTGTAATCCTGAAATGTCATAGCACTCAGATTTGTTTTTTAAATTTAATGAAAGGACTCTCTGATTTCGCAGGAGAAAGTGAGAATTCACCTCGGATTATCATAATCATAGTCGTCTCAGTTGTTGGTTTTCTGATTCTTATCATTTGCAGCTGCATCTGCTTCTTTTTCTGGTTGACGAAATCAAAGAAGAGAAGGCATCGGCTGAATGAAATTGAAGGTAAGTTCTTTTCTTGGTCAATAAATTCTTGTTTCCATATAGTGTAGGATATATATAGCTGATGATAAACTAATTAAGAAAGAAGAAAAAATATTGCAACTTTGCAAGTAATCTTCTTATAACCTTGATAACTGAAAAGTGGAAGCGCTGATTAGCTTAATAACTCTTCTGGTGTATTGACTTTAAAAGCTCGAGCTTGAATTTATGAGTAGTAGTGTTTTCCTTTTCCATCTCAGTTTGGGCTAACATACATTCCATTTTTTTTCTCCTATGAAGATGAAGATGAAGATGAAGATGACAATGCTGAAGCTTTACAATTTGATTTCAATACAATAAGAATTGC